GCATGCTGTGTCTTTGAAGCAACAATTAAAGGCTAAATAATTATCATGCATTGATCATATCATGCATGCGCAGCGAGGGAGACTAAATAAATTTGTTAAAAAGAGTTCCAGCGCGAGAGAGGCAAAGAAAAACGCATGTTTTTAATTTAATTATGTTTCTTTGGACAATTTTCGTTTTGTACTGTTTTAATTGTTTAATTTAGCTGTAATTTCTTTGGCAATACAAATTTAAAATGTCGCAATAATAAGATTAGCCTAGTGTTTCTTATTTTGCATCGCAAAATAAATAAACTCTAAACCCGATGCAACCCTGTTTTAAATAAAAAAAACTGTCCCGACACTTTATTTAAACCTTGAAATGTTCGAACTTGGTTTCAAACTTAAGTAATTTTAGTGTTCTTTTACATTACACAATAATTTAGCAGACTAAAGACGAGCTTCTTCATTTTCATTTTCTGATGCAATCGGCTGACAATCTTCCTTCATCAGTTTATGTCGTTTGTGCAGCGGCTGCGGTTCTACAGGAATGTAGCAAATTTATGTTGTAATGATAATTAAACAAAACTCTTGACTTTAAATAATTAAACAGTTATAAACAGTTAGCTATTTAAGCATCAAGGTGGTAAAATATAAACGCTGTAGGACAACATCGGTTAACAACATGTATGCTACATTGAGATTCGATCTCGGGTCGATTGAAGCTCCTCAAAATTCGTGTTGATGCGTTAACCACTGAGCTACCGTCTGTACGCTGTTTAAGTTGTAAAGCCTCACGGATGTAGCCTAAATGTTTTTATTGCAATGTTTTATGTTGAAATGTTTTCATTATTTATTCAATTACATTTCAGTAGCCTAATTTCAGTATTGTGATTATGAATTATTTTAACCACGTTTCACTTGTTGAATTCATCTGCTACCAGCTTTCAATCGCTCTGAATCAGCGCGGTGCGGCAGCAGATTACGCATTAGAGAGAATAAACCGGAATAAACGAACACTTTTCATAGTCTATGATTGTAGCGCCTCTTAGCGGTAAAAGGCAGCAAATACACCACACATTTTACCGCCGCGGTGGAACGGCTGATGTGGGCATTGTCATGGCTTGCCTCGACATTTGCGTTTGAATAGCGCGCGTCCTCCGTGGGCGTGTCAGATTAACGCGTAATGAAGTGTAATGAGCTGGGGAAAAAAATACTGACAGCACTCTCTTTTCATACAGATTGCACAAACTGAGAATATTTGTTTTTTATATAAATTACTTCATTTAAAAGAAGAGAATTCAAGCTTCATAAAGAAAAATCTCTCGTGCCTGTATGACAAGTAATCGCGGAGTTACAGTTAATCTTAGGACGCGTTTCAGAATGGACTTCACTGACAGAGAGAACGCAGAACTCGCATCATGTTTGTTTTTCTTTATTTGGTGAAAAGCACAACACTTTGTTTTTATTGTGAGTATCCACAAAAAAAAATAGAAACTTAACAGGATCGATTGATGTATAACATTTGCCTGTATGACAAAAATCGACTGAGTTATTTGAGTCTCTTTTGCACTGATAAGAAAAAAAGCGAGCAGATCACGCCGGCGTGATTGCAGACCCCAGAGGGTTAATATCCATGTTCACATAAGCACTACGAGCTTTGCCAGTCGGCATGCAGTGGCTATCTGCTCAAAAGTAGTAAGAAAATGCTCCACATCATCGTCTTCGTTAAGCGGCTGTAGACGCGGCTCTGTCATAGCCCTTGGCTGTTCTACTACTTGACCAGCAACGGATGGTGACCCCTGAGCATCTGCCTGCTCACTCCCTTGATTCGAAGGGGTACATTGAAGCCCAGAAGGATGAACAGAAGTTGGTGTTGTTCTCGTATGTACCTCTTCCTGAAGAAGCGTGAACTGATGTTGAAGAGCCTTCCATCTATTTTTCTCCCATGCTGTCTCCTGGTCGAGTCGTTTATCTCTCTCTTGCTGCCTTTTCATATGTGCACCAAACATGTCCTGTAACTCTTCTACTGTAACATTCTGTGAGTCACCTGAAACTGGCGGATGCTCAGCATCAGCTCCTCCTGTAGCTGACGCCACCATCTCATCGCTCTTTACGGCTTTCTTCCGTCCCATTTTGACCAGTGGGGAAAAAAAAGTCGCTAACTGATGCCCCCTACTGGCACATCCCACCGCTGCCACCAATTGTGATAGGCGTGACAGTAAAGGGAAAAAGAACGCGGAGGCAGCAGTCTACTGCAAACGCTTAGAGTCACTGCACTTGCCTCTCAAACAATTACAGAGGTCTAGAGACTACAGGACCTGTTCTTTGTGGGTACGCAGACACATAATGGCCATTACACAAAATAAACAAATATGAAAACATCAAATATACACAAACAAAAGCTTCAAATGTCAAATGACTTCACTTCATAAATGTACTTCCTATATATAAATAAAAGAAAAGGAAGCAAAATAGTCCTTGGAGTCCCCTGGGTAGAAACCGGAATGGTTGCAGCCCGATCATTGCATCCAAATTTTCCGCCCGAACCCCTTTTGATGGTACACCAACTCACGGGAATCAGCCGTAACAAACAAGCAAACAAAAAAGAACAGGAAGAATAAACTCCGCAAACTAAACGTTAAAGAGTGAGCGCACTTAACTCCAAACGAAAGTTTAAATAAAGTTTATTAAACCAAAATAATGTTGTTGCGACTTTTTTACTGTGAACAAAAATCCCATTAAATAAAAAGACAAACTGACCTGACCCAGGCTCAAACAACATTCGCCACAAAGAGTTTCTTACTGTACACACACACACACAAAAAAAACCCCACCATGTTGTGCATCAAAACTACACGTTAGTACCTTTTACAGTCTATGGTTTGTAAACCATATTATGGCAACAGACGTGTACTTTCGACAGTTTCATGGGAATGAACTTCAGATAAATCACCAAAAAGGCATTAGCTTATCTGTCCTACTGGCGTCATGAGCGCTCACATGATTCTAACGTTACATTTACCATTAGAGCAAACATGATTCAGTAAAACAACACGTATCACTTAACATTTATCACTAAAATAAAAAATTCAGGATAATGGGAAATAATAGTGTAGCCTACATACCCCTGACTGTCGATCGCAATGTCACATACAGTCCTTCTCTTTAGTGACGCCCAGTGGACGTTTGTGTTTCAAAACTGTAGCATACGTTGGTACATATTTGTGGCGCTGTAAAAAAAAAGTGTACAGAGGAATGTTTTTCCTAGAGACCAGGTTGGCTTTGCTATTTTTTTTCCCCCCCTAGTATAATTATTTTTCTCTCTGTGTCTTTTTAATTTGTATAGAGTTGTGTGTTCTTTAGGAAATGTATATGGGTTCGTATTGCCTTATTTCTGTTTAAAAAAAAAAAAATCTCGCCGGAAGTAGTAGATCATAGATGATCTCCTCCTGTATCTGGGTACTTTTGGCTACTGTGAATTCGGACGTACTTATTTAGTCATACTGTTTTCGGATGCAGCAAGTGTTCTGACTGTTATTGCTTTAACGTTCTTCTTGGAAATTAATGAAGTGTACATACTGTTCCAGTACTCAGAATATAAATACAAAAACCACTTAATCTAGAGAAGGCAAAGAAAAAAGTAATGAACGTCTGAACATGCAATCCAGAAGAACAAGGTACGATTTGTGTATTTTTTATGGCTATTAAATGTTAACTGTTTTCTTGCAAAGTCTGAGCTCAACATACACTGTCATTACACACATGAGCCACTGGTGGGAGCCATTGTTATTTTATTTTTCAGTCTGATCGCACTGTTCCCCTTCTTCTGAGAATAAAAATAAGAACACTGTCCATAAGAGAGAAGCACTTTAGAGCAACCCAAGAAAATGTGCAGGTAGTGAATATTTGACAAACATATGAATTATATTAATTGAATCTCATTTCTATACAGTTTCTTAAATCTGGGTTTATTGTTGTTAAATGTTCAAAGGTGCACTACATTCACATCTCTCTGAACTGTTCAGTAGTCCTCAAGACATAGGCTACATTTATGAAACTAGTAACTTTATTAAATCATTCTTTATCACATGTGTACAGAAATACGAAAATATTTACATCCAGAATAGTGTCTGTTGTACAAAGATCTTAGAATTTCAATATAAAAAAATTACATTTTAATATACATTTAATATAAAAAGAATATAAATCAATAAGGATAAAAAAGGTATAGCATGCTAGATCAGAGGTAGTTATATTTTACAATACAATAGCTAGCCTACTTTACAATCTGTAAAAGATCCCGACCAAGCTTTATTACGACCTAATCACACATAGGCCTAGTTATTTTTTATATCTTCAGTTTATAGCACTGACATGTTCATTTCACTTTTTTATCTTCCTTAATCATGTGGCCTTGACGTAAAAAATTCAATTCAACTCTGAAAATAAAGTCAATCAGTTAAAATAAGTTGTCAACATGTTTATAACTAGATACCTGTATTTACGGCAGAGACATTTATAGGTGACTCTGTTCTCTCAAGGTTTCTTACCACCACTATTCATGTTAATATGTACAGTGGGACTGGGAGCTTGCAGTTCATTGGCCAAGCCTTTTGTGTACTTGCAGAGAGTATGTTTCTGGCCTCATGTTCTAGCATCTCTTGGCATGATGTATTTTCACTAAATATTATTTGACAATATACATAGGTATTTACCTTCCCATACATTTTTTTTTTTAATTCACTAGGTGCACATTAGCAAGTTACGACTTGCGAATAATTAACAAGGATATATACACACTTGGAAATTAATGCATAATGCTTTGAGATACATGACATAAGAATTGAGCTTTATGCAGAGACCTTTTTCACATTGACATATTTAGATACATCACTCCTTTTACATCAGCAAACATCCCTGTGATATTTTTGTAATTGAAGGAATGTTCCAGGTTCAAAACAATTAAATGTGTTTGGTAAAGCACCACAAAATTAAATTTTTAAAAAAGACGTTCTAGCTGTAAAGCTGTAAATCGTATGGTTATGCATTACCAAATACATGGTGGATTTGTTATTATGTAACACTGTTTTGTAGATACAGTGTGAATTTTAATATTTATATCCGTGCAGTACTTTGCCACATAGACTTCCATCGTACGTGCTTGTATTGTTTCGTTTGTTTTAAACGAACGGGTTGAACGGGAAATTGTTTTATTTGAAAATCCTCAGTATTCCCTGGATGATGATGATACTGAACCCAGAACATTCCTTTAAGCCTAATTACACAAACAAGTTACAAAGTTACAAAAAAATAAATGCAGATTTGTTTTTGAACATTGCTTAAATTACTGAATGGCCCACAAAATTGTGTCACAAAATGTTATTAGGCTTTTTTATGCCATGTAGCAGTTGGGACAGTATATTTGTATATAGTCCCATGTTAAAACAGTTCATTGTTCATTAGCTCTGAAGGTTTTAGGGGTCAGTTCATATGTAGGCTCACAACTTCTCAAACTCATTGGGTCCTTGAAAGCTTTAGAGTTTAGAAGAAGACTTAAGAACGAGCTGAGAGAATCGGGGAGTGGTAGACTCCAGAAAAGAAGTTGCCATTATGAGTTTCCAGTCCACTGCTCCTGAAATACTCCTGCTCTTTGGCAATGAGTTCTGGTGTTGACCTGACCAGGTTCTCTCCAATGCTCTCCCTCTCTGTTGAGGGTTTCATTTGCATCTGGCATGGGATGAGAGGCACTGAGGGTGGGCAAGAAAACCGTCCGACTGTGTCTGGGTTTGGTGCTGATGAACTCTCGAACACTGCATCCGCCTCGGCGGCAAAGGACACCAGGGCTTGAGTGGAGTCATATGAGCTTTTCTCCGTGTCAACCGAGACGAAGGAATCCAGGTTGTGGTCATGATGGTGGTGAGCTCTTCTAAAAAGGAGACGTGCGTCTTCACGGAAGTGTGGATTGAAGAGGAGGTAGAGTAAGGGGTTGATGCTTGCAGGGAGAGGCAGAAGTACCAGGACGACTGATTTGACAACCTCCTCGCTCACAGGAAAGAGTCCCAGAAGGGAGGAGAAGGTGAGGAAGGCTACGGGGCAGTAGAGCAGGCAGTTGGTGAAGATGAGCCAGGCCACATGCTTGATCATGGCACAATCCCAAATGCTGTCGAAGTCACCCTTCGTCAGGTCCCAGTACAGTTTGATGTAAGTTCCGGTGATCACCAGGAAACACAGGGAGTTCATCATTATCAGAGCGACCATAAAACCCAACGTGGAGGGTTCGCCATCCGGCAGTGGTGAAGGCGTGCAGAGTGGAGTTGCACCGTACTCCCCGACCCCAATTAGCGGCAAAGCGGCGACTGCCAACGAAAGTGCCAAGCACGCCACAGAGGCGGCTCGCACGCTTCCCAGGGACGGCGACTTTCCGTAGGCGCGAGCACAAGACACGGACACGCTGCACTGCACTGCGGCCAAAGTCAGGAAGAGTATGGACCCCTCCGAGGCAAGTACTGAAAGAAAGCCTGTAGTTTGGCAGCCAGCACCCATTTCCCATTGAGCTCCGTGCAAGGCGAACTCTCCAAATGTCCGGGCATCGACCAATGCCAAGGTGCCGGTACACAGGCCCGTTAGCAGGTTGGCGCCACTGATGGTGCCGATGATGAACTTAACAGGGGAGAGATAGCTGGGGGATGCAAAGACAGTCAAGAGGAGAAGGCTGTTTCCCGTCAGCGAGACCAAAGAGATGAGCCACATGCCAAGCCGTACCACCCAACTGTCAAACAGGTTATCACATGGTTTAAATGGACCTGAAGGGGTGAAACGATCAATTAGAATTTGAGCATTATATCAGAAAGAACACATTCTTTCTCATTTGAGGCTTATTCACACAAGACTGCATTTTTTACTACTGATCAAATACACAGCGAAATAATACACACAATATTTAGTAAATCTTTCTTAAAACAGTTATTGCATCAATTGTTGCTTTGAAAGAAGTGCAACATTTAATGTGAGAAAAGTTCTTTTCAAATTAAGTACACAAGTTTTTGTGCTTGTTTCATGAGACCCAATGCATCTTTATTCGCATCTTCACACAAAGTCAGAAATATAGTACTGCAAGAATCTAACTATATTCTTTCCCCCATAATTCAAAAGAGTTTGTGAAGTTTTTCAGAGAATGGTTTTAATACAATTGCTTGTACGTATAGATTATAAAAGAGAATAATAGTAGGCCACATTTGACCTTCTTCAGTATTACGCTCTATGGTCATTTACATAAACAGGGCCTAAAAAACTCGCAGAGCGTCAAATGTGAGTAGAAATCGGCGTTGGTGAGAATATGAATCGGTGTCAATCGAATTCTAACAATGCAATATTGTGAGAACATAAACGTGAACAAATGTGAACGATGCTCGGGACAGTTGATGGGCCAGTGCTGCATTGTCACAAAAGTTTAAGCCTTGCCAAATTTAAATATTCAAATGCAAGAAGACACAAAAGGGAACTCAATTCCTTACTCATGTGCTGTGTGAAAAGTTTAGAGTGCGCAAGGATCTGAAGAACGCACCCAGAAAAACTCCGTTCATTAGGTCTTGTGACAGCAGCCTAATATTTATGTTGCTCTCTGTGTTTTCATTGTTAATCAAACAACAAAAGGACAAATAAATAATTACTCACTTCTCTTGACTGAATAACTTTTGAAACTTTAATAAGGATTAATCTGTTTAATTTATACAGTGAAGACTTTTACATTTGATTAGTTTATATAATGTCTCTACCTGAAAACTACTGTTACTTGTCTTTATTCATGTTTTAAATGTATATGAGTTAGGCATGTAGTTATAGCTGTGGTATCGAAATTAGAATAGATAACGTCCCGGGTTACGTATGTAACCCTAGTTCCCCGAAGGGACGGACGCTGCGTGTAATCGCAGTGGGAACGCCCTCAGCGTGACGCGTCTGAAGCATGAATGAAATCAGTCAATGGAGAGAATGAGCGTACGGCGAGTGACGTCATCGACCAGGAAGCTATAAATATCCCCTGAGTACACAATACGCCAGCTTAAAAGTTACTGAAGCAGCGACCCAAGGGGATGCCGAGAGTATGGCAGGACACGCAGCGTCCGTCCCTTCGGGGAACTAGGGTTACATACGTAACCCGGGACGTTCCCCTTCAGGGACTACCGCTGCGTGTAATCGCAGTGGGAACGCAATACCCACATCCCCATACGACCAAATCCCCGTCGTGTGTCATTAGGAGACACAAGCCGACGAGAGAACCTGAGCCCCGGGAGTGGAGCTAAGATCGAGGGAATAAAATCTAACGAAAGTGTGCGGTGAGGACCAGCCTGCCGCATCACAAACGTCCTGAAGAGAAGCTCCTGAAAGAAGAGCTGTAGAAGCAGCCATACTCCGGGTGGAACGAGCCCTTACAGCCAAAGGTGAAGGCTGATGGGCCGACCCATAAGCAAGTGGGATGGCCTCGACCACCCACTTGCTCATCCTTTGCCTAGATGCAGGACACCCTTTCTTAGGTGACCCAAACAGACGAACAGTTGTTCCGATCTCCTCCACAGGGCAGCTCTGTGGACGTAAGCATCTAAAACCCAAACTGGGCACAGCAAATTAATTTTCTCCTGGTCTGACGTCAGAAAAGGCGGAGGACAGAAAACCTGCAGAACTATAGGTCTAACAGAAACAGTTGGAACCTTAGGAACATAACCTGGTCTCGGAAAGAGAAAGGCCTTAACCAACCAGGAGCAAATTCCAGGCACGAGGGAGCCACCGAAAGTGCTTGAATATCTCCAATTCTTTTTAGAGATGAGATAGCGAGAAAAAGGATAGTCTTAGAGTAAGAAACTTTTCCGAAACTTCCTCGATGGGCTCGAAAGGAGCAAGGGAGAGACCTTCTAAGATGATGGCCAGATCCCAAGCTGGTACCCTCGTGCGAACTGCAGGCCTCAGCCTCAAGGTGCCACGAAGGAAGCGAGACATAAGTGGGTGTTTCCCGAGGGAACCTCCATTTGAAGGGGTGTGGTAAGCAGCTAAGGCCGCCACATACACCTTCAGTGTGGAGTGGGATAACCCTGTGGAGAGACGGTCCTGCAGGAAATCCAGCACTGTACCAACCGGGCAGTTAACTGGGTCCTGCTGGCGCTCTCCACACCAAGAGGTGAAAAGTTTCCACCTCGCGCATATAACTTCCTCGTGGAGGGAGCTCTGGATCGGAGGATGGTCTCAACGACCTCAGCCGAGAGACCAGAATCTATGAGCTGGGCCCCCTCAGAGGCCAAGCCCACAGCCTCCATAGCTCTAGACGGGGGTGAAGGATCGACCCACTCGCCTGAGAGAGCAGATCTCTCCTGATCGGTATCTCTAGGGGAGAGCCGTCGAGGAGAGACACTAGGTCCGCAAACCATACCCGGGCCGACCAGAACGGGGCTATTAGCAGGAGACTGAGCCCGTCCCGGCGAACCCTCTCCAGAACTCCTGGGAGCAGAGCGATCGGGGAAAAAGCGTACAAGCGTGACCTCGGCCACGGATGTACCATCGCATCCAACCCCAGCGAGGCTGGATGGCTGCGAGAGAACCACAGCGGGCAGTGTGATGTTTCTCGAGAAGCAAATAGGTCTACCTCGGCAAGACCGAAATGTTTCCATAGGAGTTCCACCACCTCGGGGTGAAGACTCCATTCCCCGGGCCTCGGCCCCTGTCTTGACAGGATGTCTGCCCCCTGATTAAAATACCCCGGGAGATAAATAGCTCTCAGAGAAAGAATTTTCCCCTGGGACCATAGAAGGATCTGACGTGCCAGTTTGTAAAGCGGGCGAGAACGCAAACCCCCCTGATAGTTGATATAAGAAACCACCGATGTGTTGTCTGTCCGGACAAGAACATGGTGGCCCCTTAGGTCTGGGAGGAAGTGTTTCAGAGCCTGAAACACCGCCAACATCTCTAGGCAGTTTATGTGCCACAGACGATGATGGTCCTCCCACAGACCCTGAGCCGGGCGACCATCCATGATCGCCCCCCCAACCCGTGAGAGAAGCATCTGTCGTTAGCATAACGCGACGACAAGGAGCTCCTAACACAGGGCCTTGGGACAGAAACCAAGGATCTTTCCACATGATCAGGGCGTGATGACACCGTCGCGAACTCACGATCATGCGAAGCGGATTTCCCCTCGGGGAGAATCCCTTGGTCCTGAGCCACCACTGTAACAGTCTCATGTGCAAGAGGCCAAGAGGTATCACGTTGGACGCAGCTGCCATGAAACCTAACAGTCTCTGGAACTGTTTTACAGTGGATGACTGGCCTAGCTTGACCTGATCTACTGCAGCGAGAATCAAAGCAATACGAGCAGGTGACAATAGTGCCTGCATCGTCGTTGAATCCCACACTACACCTAGAAAAGTGGTTCTCTGTAATGGAGAAAGAACACTCTTTTTGGCGTTGAGCCTCAGCCCCAGTCACTTGATATGAGCAAGAACGACATCTCGGTGCCGAACCGCCTGTTGTTCCGATTGAGCTAGAATCAAGCAATCGTCTAAATAGTACAGAAAGCGGATGCCCTGTAACCTCAGCGGGGCTATAGCAGCATCCATACACTTCGTGAATGTTCGGGGTGACAGTGCTAGGCCGAACGGAAGAACCCGATATTGGTACGCTTCGCCCCCGAAAGCGAACCTCAGGAACTTCCTGTGTTGAGGGAGGATAGATACATGGAAGTAAACGTCCTTTAGATCTATCATGACAAACCAGTCCTCGGATCTGATTTGAACATCCCCTGTGACAGACACAGCGCCCTGTAACGTACTGGCAGGGAACAGCTGGCCTGGGCACTCCACAACCCTCCTCGGAGGGGGCGAGCGTCCCTCGGGAAATCGCTCGCAGAGTCTCTCTACGCCCTGTATAGGCAGGGTTAGTAGAACAGACCCCTGAGGGCATCGAGAAAGACAGGGCACCGTGTTTTTGTGCGGTGAACTCAGGTCTTTCACGATAGGGACCACCCTCAGAGTCCTGACGTTTAGCACGTCAGGATTTTTCTTTTTCCCGATGAAGTAGTATCCTAACTCCCTGCTGGGTGGGGGACCCATTCCGCCAGGAGCTCTACTAAGGGAACCAGCCTCTCGAGGCTGGCCTCTGGATGAACATCCCGAGTGACAGACACAGCGCCCTGTAACATACTGGCAGGAAACAGCTGGTCTGAACACTCCACAACCCTCCTTGGAGGGGGCGAGCGTCCCTCGGGAAATCGCTCGCCGAGTCTCTCTACGCCCTGTATAGGCAGGGTTAGTAGAACAGACCCCTGAGGGCATCGAGAAAGACAGGGCACCGTGTTTTTGTGCGGTGAACTCAAGTTTTTCCCGATGGGGACCACCCTCAGAGTCCTGACGTTCAGCCCGTCAGGACTTTTTCGACGCGGCCTTTCTGGCGACAATGACTGTCCTCAGATCAGTCCTGCCCCGAGAAGGCCGCGCCGGAGAGCGCCCGCCTCGTCCCTCCAGTTTCTCTGCAGGAGGGCACGAGACTTGACACTCCGCTTCTGCTGTGCTCTTTTGGAAGACGAACTCGACGAAAAACTTTGCTCTGGTTGAACATTCTGCGTGACAGACACAGTGCCCTGTAACGGCGCACCAGCAGGGAACGACTGGTCTGAACACACTAGAACCCTCCTTAGAGGCGGCGAGCGTCCCTCGGGAAAGCACTCGCCAGACCCTTCTACGCCCTGTTTCGGCAGGGTTAGTAGGACGGGCCCCTGAGGGCGCCGGGAGAGACAGGGCACCCTTAAGGGAGGTGAACGCAAGTCTCTCTCGGCGGGGAACCCCCTCAGATTTTCCTTTGATCGGCCTGAAAAGCCTGCATAAAAGTCTTTTTATTTTTATTTTTATTTTTTCGTATGCAAACATGCAGCCGCCTGCCCAGCCACCGAGTAAGCCTTCCCCACCAGCACAGAGGTATATATATTTATTTATTTATTTATTTTTGGTGGAAGAGCCGGTGCTTTAAGTGAAGACGATGAAGCAGGAGAGAGATAGCTCGCGAGCGTCTCCTCCGCCTACAGTATCGTCACATAACCAGCAGATTTAGCACCAACAATGTTACCATAAGCATTGGACTGATTTGTGTAAATTCTGCTTGAAACCGGTCTAACCCAGGTCTTTGACACCTCAGTATGAAGATCTGGGAAGAACGGTAAGCACCGGCGAGAAGGTTGAAGTCGTGCAGACAGAAATCTATCATCTAGATTGCTTTTAATTCTAGAAACCTGTCTATCAGCTGGCCACTCGATACTGTTTTTTTTTTTTTTTTCAGCTTTTCAACAGCCCGAGATAACACATCCATCAAACCTTCTTCATTTGCAGTATAATGTGATAAACTAGTTTTCTCTGATGCAAAAACTTTCGACATCCAGCTCCTCAGAACTGGAAAATCTCAATTCAACATCATCATGTGCCTCCACCCGGGCAGAAGTAACCGCCGCAGCGCGTGCTTCCAGAGCCGGGTGAGAGGCACTAGATCTCGGCGGAGATAGCTGAGATAGGCCGGAGCCCGTCTCAACGTCGCCAGTGAGATCCATCTGCGAGCCCCAAGACAAGCGCCGCCGCTCTGCCTCAACAGAAGCGGGACCCGAGCCTTGGGGAGCTCGCAGCAAATCACTCTCCTCGAAGAGCGATCGCCGCGAGCGCAGAGTTCTCAAGGGAAAACACTCGCAATGCTGACAATCGACTCCCTCGAGAGCCGACTGGGCATTGCTGCACTTCCCAACACACTTCTTATACTGCTCGCTCATATTGGTTTTTTTATATAAAATATATATAGTGAAAACTCCTGACAAAACAGACAAACACAATCGACAGATTCAGACACACACAGAGCTGCTGAAGTAACTAAAAGCTGGCGTATTGTGTACTCAGGGGATATTTATAGCTTCCTGGTCGATGACGTCACTCGCCGTACGCTCATTCTCTCCATTGACTGATTTCATTCATGCTTCAGACGCGTCACGCTGAGGGCGTTCCCACTGCGATTACACGCAGCGGTAGTCCCTGAAGGGGAACTGTGAATTTTCCCTGGTATCTAATATTTTGGCGTCATAACTGGCTGTTTTTGCTAAAACAGTTTAAGTCACCGTCCATTTGCCAGATGTGGCAAAATGTTAGTTTTAGGCCCTGTATATAAATGTTAATTTCGAATATACTGAAGCACATTTATTAATATTTGTCAAATCTTATTAAAATGCTAAATAAAATATAACAACAATAGCTGTTTTATAGATAACTGGGTCACAGCTGAAACCATCTTTCTTTCTTTTTTATATCAGCACCATTTCTGGAAGTGGCAACACATGGTTATCAAATCATGCTAAGCTGAAGTGTTGGTGGAGATTATGTGAAGTGTGCATAGATTGGGTGTACAAATTCGTTTTTCTTCAACATGCGTGTTGTTTAGTTTGTTTGTACTCGATATGAACAGTCTTGGTGGCATACATGTGACCTAGAGTTGAGATGTGTTGCTAATGGAATTTACCTGGGATGGGGGTACACTGTATGCTGGTTTGTAGTTTGGACTCTTCAATAGCTAACTGGAATTCCTCTAAGTCAAGGTCATCTGCAAGTGAACACATGAAAAGCATGAGGCACCTTTGGTTTGTGCATTTATGGCAGTATGATGAAATAGTCTTCAGTGTTCAAGATGCCATGATGCACTCAGTCTGGCAGAAGATTAATCACCATGTTATGGACATCAAGTCTGCTGGAACGGATTAATTTATCTAAGGGCTTTAGCACCACTCAACACCGAACACATCTCAGTTGCAACTTTCCATTTCTCCTTCAGTGTGCAATCAATCATCAGGCTTTGTTCACGCTCTGGTTTTGTTATTTTCCGATAAGCCAAATGGTATGTTTTGGACCTTGAATTGTTAATGTTTATCTAATTTCCCATGGAGTGTAATTACGGAAGGCTGCTTTCAAGTCTGAAACCTGATCAGATCCCATCGAGGAATGCATGGAGAAAAGACACATTTTATTTCATCTGTCAAATACCTGCGGTTACTGTAAGGCCCTGACATGTTTCTACTGTGCTAATTAAAGATGAAGAGACTGGCAGATAGAAGAGAGCAAATAAAAATAGACTCGCACACACACACACACACACTGTGGAAAACCGCTACAAGTGGTGCTTTTATGTTCCTTTCATATGAGGACCGTGTTTGTGTAAGGTCAATGTTTTCATTTTTGGCTACAGGGACTTTGATAAAAGGTTTACTGTACAAACTTGAGTGACTTGATACAATACAGAATTGGAGTTGGGAAACTTGCCACGATAAGTTCAAATAATTTAAACTTAACCGACTGGTTTATTCTATTCGTTTACATGTCTATTAAGAAGGTGAAGAGACCATCTCAGGAAGTCTAAAACTAGGGATGTCCCGATCCGATCACGCGATCGGAAATCGGGCCCAATCACGTGGTTTCAGACTCGATCGGAATCGGACGTTACCTCCCGATCAGGACTCGGATATATGTAAATTAGGGGTGTAACGGTACCAGTGCAGTCTCATCCCAAGACGTCATATAACTGACGTCTTGGGACGTCTTTTGACCATACGTCAATATCCGCCTTTTTAGGGTACCCTTAAACGTCGGTTAGATGACGTTATCGGATCCTAACTCTACCCCAGACCTAAACCTACCCCTAAACCTACCCCGTCACCTAACTGACGTTAAAGGTAAAGCGTCAGTTGTATGACGTCCCAGGATCGTCATAAACCGACGTTTAAGGGTGCCCTAAAAAGGCGGATATTGACGTATGGTCAAAAGACGTCCCAAGACGTCAGTTATATGACTTCTTGGGATGAGACTGTGTTAACGGTACATGTATTCGTAATTATTAAACCGTTTCGGTACGAGGCTTCCGGTTCGGTACGCATACAAACCGAACGATTCCTAGGACCATTTTTCCTGCAGACAAAATCCGCGCTGGCGCGATCACCACAACGTTGCGCAACATCAAATGGCAAACGTAATGAAAGCGGAACGAAACTGCGCTTCTCATTATATTGTGCTTAAAGTCCCCATGAAATCAAAATTGACCATACTTACTTTGTTTGCCTAAATTGATCGTTTTGTGGTGAACAATTCATCCATGCAAGTCAATCCACACAAAAAAATTTTTTGGCTTCGTAATCTTTAATCAAAATCTGAAATTTCCCCTCCCCTCTGCGTTGGAGGACCTTCCCTGATGACGTAGGTTTCACGGTTTGGGCGTCTTCTTAACATCCGTAACCACGCCCCTCCAACTGACAGTAGACAGGCTGAATGAAAACACCTACTTTTCTAGATCCAATCCGGTGCTAGTTGGGAAAAAAGCCACGCCCACCATTTTGCCTCATTTAGTATTCCGTTTCTCTCGGAAATACGTCACAACACTGGAGAAAAGTCGTTTGCAACTTCCGGTTCACGGGGACTTTAACGGACTGTTTATCAGTTCGGACCAGCAGCATCTGTGCAGCGCGAGATCAAGCGACACTGTGCTAAGAGATCCAGTGAAGAAAACATTTGAATTCGCCACTGAAGTAATAACATCGCTGCGAGATCTAGAGAGAAGCATTCACATTTCTCCGTTATTAACCGTAGATCTCTATTAGATCAAACAGCGCTGACGTGGACACCAGGAGAAACATTGTGCCGTGAATGAACATGGATTTAATGTTGCACTTAAAAACTCAAATATTATATAAATATATATTTAAATGTTATTTTTAATGTGATTACCAAAACATTATTTGTTCATCCTTCAAAGATTACCCCCATTTATAAACCTGAAAGTTTCAAGATGTTGGAAAACTCTAACTTATTTAAAAATAGTTTTTCTTTTAATAAATAGGAAATTTCTCTGGCATTTCTTTCTTTCTTTTTGCTGTATCGTATCGAACCGAACCGCAAATTTTGTGAACTGTTACACCCCTAATGTATATATATATTCTCATTATTTTTTATACACTTTTAAAACATTTTTATTTTTTGTTTACATGCCTGCCGGGTATTTTAAGTTGAGGTGCTATTTGTTTTTATATTAGACTTTTTCTATATTTACTGTTGTACTAAAGTCCAAAAGGGAAGATTTTATGTTATTTATTACTTGATTGTTCAAGCTACCTCACAGAAGTGCTCTGTTTGTTAACAGAGTTGTTGAATGTTAAAATAAGGTGAATTAAATAAAAAATAAGGAACATCCTGGATCTGTTTTTTCTCTCTTCTTTATTATTTTTTTATGTATTATATAAGTATCGGATCGGGACTCGGTATCGGTAGAAACTCAAAATCAAATGATCTAAATGCTTAAGCTTAAATGCTTGAAATCATCTTCACTTGTGGATGGTCACTACGTAATTCCCACACTTCTGTTTGTGTTATAGTTTCAGTGACTTTATTATTGTTGTACAATGTGGAAAATAGTAATAAATAATGAGCCGGTGTCTACATTTTTGACAGGTAGTGGTGGTGGCTGGTGGTACTTCAAAGAATACCATGTTATTGCACTAAGTAAAAAAAATTACTGTTTTGCAAATGGTGCTTGCTACCACTTTCTTCCTAGTCACAATGCTGTAAAATTTTAGACAGATTTGTGAGATGGCCTAGTTTAGTTGTAGGACTTACAGTTGTTGTCAGTGTGAATGGGGAACAGGGACAGCGCTTTCTTCTGGAGATCTTCCTCTTCACTGCCCATCTGTTCTTCCCACTGGCTGGCTGCTTTGTAGCTGTTACAGGCTCCAAAAACACAGCACTGATAGGCAAATGGCATCTCAATTACCCTGTTTCAACAAAAGTGATGTATACAATTCAAAATAATTTTATATGTTCCATCAAATATTTGTATACCACAAATAGTTTTATTATTATGTGCCAAATGGAGTTTTAACATTTTAAATAAGGACATATTGCATCCGTTTAAGTAAATATGAAAACTATAAAAGATCCCATTTCAGAGGAAAAAATGATTCATCAATCTGCAAATAATGCATGAAGTAATCTAGCAATACATCTAACTGCAAGGGCTATTTTAAATGTATTTGGGTCACGACTGAAACCGTGACTTGTCTTTAATTGTAATCAGTTGCTTTTTGGAAATGGTAATACTTGAAATCTCTCATTTCTTGAGGTGCTAATCAAATCACGGCAGCACTTAAGGCTGAAGTCTTGGAGCGCTTCCAAAGCACTGTGCTGTTGATGAATGGACAGGATATTTATAACAGCCTCTCTTGTATTGAGAATAAGGTATCTTGAAAAAATCTTTCCGCCTGTCAGGTGACTTTGCATCAAGCCAGATATTCTAGGGAACCTAACAGAAATCGTTTACTCGTACAAATGAACAGAATGTTCCTTGGGGCACGCACAGCCTGTTCCAGATTGTTAGTATCTTGAAACTGTCAAATCTATAAACGGTTGAATGTTTCTCCGAAAACAGAGTAAAACCTTCATGTGTTTTTGAGCTATTCGAGGCATTTGTGTTTATGGGACTTAATAACCACATACACTTGTGAATTTTCTTTGATGGTTTAACATGAAAGTGTTTTAAGTCAAGTAAATCTGATAGTGGAGTTTATTTGGGGTTATTGGTTATCACAAATGTACCTTATGTTGGGGAAGTCCTCCTCTCTGAAAGAACGTGAGAGTGCCATGTTGCCTTTCAGTTTAAGATGAGTAAGACTCGTTAGCCCAGCTAGCGGGAGACTGCTCAATCGGTTCCCAGTGAGATCTCTGGATGGAGAGAGGAGATTTAGATGGATCATCATGTGTAAAACAAAGTTGCAGATGGAGCAAAAGTGGTGCTGCTACACATGAAGTACCTACTTGTCCCATGTCCCATGTAAGATAATTTTGTGTGAACGTTTGTCAACATTGTGCCTTGGAGATCTTCTGTTGGAAATCTTGAAATTAGAGTCATGAGGTTTTAGCAGCTATTGAAGTGAAGTGATACCTTCAGTGATGCGTGATGTGGTTAAAAAGGCAACCATCACATTGAAGTTTTAGCCATTTTGCAGTTATGCAGTTAGCTGGTGTTTTAGTGATTTTAGTGGATGTGTGAAGTCAGTTTTCCTCAAGTTCACATACGTAGGTATCCTTGCAGAGTAACCACAGGTTCATCGCATTAACTCTATGAACATAAACATGATCCACTAATATCTTGCAACCAATAAGTGCCCTGATTATAGCCTGGCATGCCAGACCTACATCAAGATGTTAGGTCTGGGAACTCTCCATTGACATACCTCAATCCGAGGGGCGGGATAAACGGTTACCTTTCAAAATCCCTCTGCACGCAATAGGATAACGCTACAACCAACCAGAGCAACGAACGGTTGTCGATGAGTGAGTCCCATGCGTATTTCCACCAGCGGAGCTAATTGATATATTAAACTTTTGCCGTATCAGGTCGGTACAACTCCGAACACATCTTCCTTTTTTAAGAATGACTTAAGTGACGTTCTCTTAACTCCAAGTCCTCCAGAGTCGCGGCCAAAGCCGATTCGAAAGACCGCTGCATCTTCATTGTTTTCAAGTAGCAGGAAAATCACCTATGGAAATCACGCGGAACGTCATGAACTGTGCCGTCATTGTGTTAAGCCCGCCCGCCGACTCTATACACGATGTGATTGGCCTGACCAGTTTTTGTTTTTTACAGCTCAAAAGCCTATGGAGAGTTGCTAGACCACACTGGCTGCGAAATAATTTTCGCTGCCGCTAGGGTGCGTCTAGATTTCTAGGCTACCCTGATTATGCTTTTTATGATTTGACCTTTGTTGTAGTGTAATAGCTGTTTGTGAATGTAAACGGTCTGCAAATGTTTAAAGATCAAAGTGCAGATAAATGTCTCCCAAACGAACAAACCGATTCTGAACTGCCTGAAAGGAGTCGTCAGTAATTACAGACTTAATTCCTGCTCAAAACTACATATAGTTGTAACGAATGTGCATAATGCTAGCCTATGGTCTTTATTGGCTGCCTGTGAACAACGTCTACTTTGACCCTCAAACACTGTAGCTGTATCTGAGACTGGAAGAGTTTGGTTCGTGTTGTCGACATGTCAAGAAGACATGTCTGACATTTTCTGTGCTGCGAAAGCAAATCCACTTTGCATGCACTTCCAAACGGATGAGGACGTGAAGAGTAATCTACAGTGTACAACAAACTAAATATGAACGTGCCACTTAGAAACGTCCTGCCAAAGTCCTGCTTGCGATGGTGGCAAGGGTTGATCAGCTACTTCTTCCAATGTTTCAATATCGGACTCAGGCTCGAATTCATACAGTAAAACCGACAGCATCGTTACTGTTCGTATCGCTGTGTATCAAGTGCTGAGGAACAGCTGAAATTTAGAAATAGTAATGGGCATTTCGTTTCCGACTTGCACTGCAAGCAGTCGACTGATCACAACACACTGAGCCATCTGACTAATCAGAGCAGAGTAGACCAATCACAGCAGACTGAGCCATCTGACTAATCAGAGCAGAGTAGACCAATCACAACACACTGAGCCATCTGACTAATCAGAGCAGAGTAGACCAATCACAACACACTGAGCCATCTGACCAATCAGAGTAGAGAAGACCAATCACAACAGACCGGGCCATCTGACCAATCAGAGCATAGTAATCATGACAAACTGGGCCATCTGACCAATCAGAGCATAGTAATCATGACAAACTGGGCCATCTGACCAATCAGAGCATAGTAATCATGACAAACTGGGCCATCTGACCAATCAGAGCAGAGTAGACCAATCACAAAAGACTGGGCCATCTGACCAATCAGAGCAGAGTAGACCAATCACAACACACTGAGCCATCTGACTAATCAGAGCAGAGTAGACCAATCACAACACACTGAGCCATCTGACTAATCAGAGCAGAGTAGACCAATCACAACAGACTGAGCCATCTGACCAATTTGAGTAGAGAAGACCAATCACAACAGACCGGGCCATCTGACCAATCAGAGCATAGTAATCATGACAAACTGGGCCATCTGACCAATCAGAGCATAGTAGACCAATCACAAAAGACTGGGCCATCTGACCAATCAGAGCAGAGTAGACCAATTACAACAGACTGAGCCATCTGACCAATCAGAGCATAGTAGACCAATCACAAAAGACTGGGCCATCTGACCAATCAGAGCATAGTAGACCAATCACAAAAGACTGGGCCATCTGACCAATCAGAGCAGAGTAGACCAATTACAACAGACTGAGCCATCTGACCAATCAGAGCCGAGTAGACCAATCACAACAGACTGGGCCATCTGACCAATCAGAGCAGAGTAGACCAATCACAAAAGACTCGTCCATCTGACCAATCAGAGCAGAGTAGACCAATCACACACACACACACACACACACACACACACACACACACACACACACACACACACACACACACACACACACACACACACACACACACTCACATATATATATATGTATGTGTGTGTGTGTGTGTGTTAAAAACCAGTATTCTGCAGTGAAGAGGCTGTGAAGTTTTCTAAATCCAACAACACTTGTTGATAGGAGAAAGTTTTATTTAAACCGACATGTTTTGGCACACAGGCCTTGAACTATTAACGCTGATAAAAGCTGAAATGCATCGGTTTAAATAAAACTTTGCATGTTCCAGGTTCAACACAAGTGAATGCTGTTAATTTTGCTTGTTTTTACAAAGTGAAGCGCGAGTCAAATTTTTTTTTTTGTGGTAATCAACAGCATGCCTTAGATACTGTCGAAGGAGTTGTACTTGTATTGAGCCTGTAACAGTGATTTTCCTAGTCCAAGCACTTTGTTTGGTAGTGAATTTGCCCCAGAGTAATTACTTAGAGGTTTATACGAGGTCTATAACTATTGCGATATCTACTCGGGTATGACACTGTCTTTCACTGCTGCACAGATTTATCAGCCTCACTCCGTCACACTTTAAAAGTCTTCCTCATTCATTCATCACATTCTTCACCTAATGCTGCTTGTAATCGCCTGTGACTGACGATGCACGTCTTCAACACTGCACAGAGCTTTTAACCAGGATTACAAGCACAGTCTTTTCACTTTGAGCCAAAGAAAGCATTGCACGAATGACAGAAACTTAAAAGTGTGCATCATGGAATCTCTGTTTGTGAAAAGTCACAGTTTAATTACAGTTTTGTACATCTATATAGACATCTTGACTGTGTGAGCTTTATCTCCAGTGGAAAATACAATGATATACACTGTCAGTGTTTTGCATATAGTATACTTACAGTTTAATGAGAGACTGAAGAGAGGAAAAGGCGTCAGGGTGGATGGTGTTGATCCGGTTCCAGCTAAGATCCCTGTAATGAAACGTTATTTACTCATACACCTGTCATTTCTCCTTTTCTCATAAACATAGAAATGCTTTTGCTCAGAACTTGACAGCCAACATGACAGTTTCTATCCTTATCAGATATCTGTCTTGCTCTCATATTCTTTTAACAATAATCCTTGTTTTGTATATAATTTTCTGGGTTTTGTTGTTAATTGTTCCGGCCGTTGTTAATTGGTTAACTTGTCTTGGCCTCTAGGTGGAAGTGTTGGTGAGCTTTACCAATTATTTATATGAATTCTTTATATAGAAATAATATATATTTAATAATAATATTTATATATTCTCAAAATATATATATAAGGAATATTTAAGATGCGTGAACTTCATGTTTTCTCTCTCAAATCAATCATGCAGTTTGAGTGCCTCTGAGCAAAAAGGCGGACAAATTAAGTATTTAATCTTTTTTTATCCATCATTATGTTTCAATTTGTAATGTAAAATGTGTATTAAAGGTACACTGTAACTTTTGGACCAGTAGTGGTTAAAAAAAAAAAACTGCATGTATTTTGTGGAGGAACATTGTTTTGGTTGTGCTTCGGCTCTGCATGACGGATGAATATGGTTATCTTACTAATCATAAAACAGTCACTACTCGGCTTAAGAGATAAAACCAGTTTAGATGGAAAGGATCTCAAGCTGACCAGCTGAAGACGTTACTGTAGCTTTACCCATTAATAGACACGGTACTTCCATGAAAATAAATTCCAGCACAGCGCTACAACAACTATAATGAAATGAGCCTTCACAATAGATAATGCTTTACAATGATCTCTGTTAGAGAGCTACATATGGCAATCTATCAGTTCAATAAAATACCTTACTTGCCTGTTGAGTAATAAAATCGCCATCTCCTTTTACAACATTTCAAATCCCTCAGTTCTCGCCTTCTCTGAAAAGTCAAACTAATGTTGATTCTTGTTTTATTACGATCTCTATCCATGTCAGGCTTTCTCGCTCGCTGTGACAAGTAACATCTGCCACTCACACACCAGAAACTTTACTCTATTTACGGATATGATGAGACACGCACGGGCGAGTGACGTATGTACGCAATTTCCCATGAAATCCATCCCATCAGTTCTAAAATATAAACACTTATAACAAGCTAACCAGTGAATCATGGTAAGACAAAAATATTGATGATGCATCGACTCAATATTTAAATTGTACACTATGTACAAAAAAATGTATAGTGTACCTTTAAATTAGAAAAATGCAAATCTGGTGCTTTTATATTGTACTGTAACTCTTGAGGCCATCAGAAGATATGTGTGTGTGTGTGTGTGTGTGTGTATGTACAGTACTCACAGTGAGCGCAGAGAGCTGAGTTGTTGGAATGTGTTCATCTCAATCTGTTTGATCAGATTGTGCTGCAGGCCTCTGCCGAGTCAAAACAAAAAATCTGGTATTATTGCATCACACACACACTACGCCAGACATCATACACAGCGACCAAGGACACATTTGAAAGCCTCCAAAATATGGACAATGATGGATTGCTACTGTAATGACGTTCATTTGTCATTTGTCAAATACTGTGTGGGTTATTTAGGGCTCTCAGAGTTATCTTAGATATATTGGCAATATTATTCTATTACACTAGAGAGAGAACTCACATCTCTTGAAGCGAGGCACAGTGGTAGAAACTCGGCAGCTCTTCTATGACATTGTGAGACAGCTCCCTGAAATCAAACAAATAGATTAGAAATGTCTTCACATGAGATTCTTTATCTCAAAAAGCATTTCTTGCCGTAGCTCACGAATAATGACAGAGGTTGACTGGTAACACTTCACTATAATTTCATAAAATTCTTAACATGTCAGTCGTTTAACATCAAATGAATACAAAAAATATAGAAATATTAAAGTTATAATTATTTTGATGTATTTTCCACTTCTATCCCAGTTTAAGCACTGGTGGGTCTGTGACTCTATAAAACATTCATCACGTAATCATTATTCATTTATTATTTGTGGCACAGAAATTACACACTTGAGCCTCAATGGCCAATTATCAAAGACCCATGAATGCAAGTCAGTTCTAATATAGTTTCTATTTGAATGTGAAATGACCAACTGTTTGTAAAATTACTACTTTTAAACTAAAAAGCAAAAAAAAAAAAAACAATAATGGTATGATTTAGCTTATTTAGTTTCAATTAAAATGATCTGAAATGACCATTACAATTGTCAATTTTTCCTACAAGTGCACCATCTCTCCCTTATACCGTTTCTGTCATTATGAAATGTACATGTACTGTCCATGTTTCTTAATGTAACATTATAATAAGTGCTCCAAGTTGCATGTCAGTATGAGTTTAGTTTTAAGACCATCTTTTAGTGTTCTTTCTTTTTACCCAATATAGAGTTTATGCAAGAAGAAACCTTGGAGAGAGAAAAAGCGAATATAGAGAGAATGGCATGTTAAGCAGCTAATTTCCCTAGAGGTCTAATTCATCATTTGAACAGTTACATAAAGTCTCGCTTTTCCTGCAGGGCTTTCTCTAACTCAAAGTGGTTGCTCCTAAACATGTTAAAAAGAGAGATTATATGCAAAGAAAAAAGATTCAAAAATAATTTAATAAATAACTTTCAAATTGTTTGCACAAGCTTGCGCAAATGATACAAAAATAAAAAGTAAAGTTGGCTAAAAATATCCACCTGCTGATGTTTTGAAGTTCATGTTAAAGGAGGCTTTTAGGAACTCCTTGACAGTTTGGTTACATCAAATCCCTCTGGGGGAATTTCAACTCCCTTTTGCCAGTTCGGATCTTTAGGAATCTTTTAGAGCTGAGCTTTTGAATGTGTTTGTGTGTTGCAGGTGCGTATTTGTGTTTGGAAACTCACAGCACTCTTAATTTAGGCAGCAGGTGGCAGAGATCGTGTGGCAGGCCGGTCAGTCCAGCTCGGGTCAACGTACTGAGAGAAAATCAAAGAGGAAAGTTTACACTGTGTGTGTGTGTGTGTGTGTGTGTGTGTGTGTGTGTGTGTGTGTGTGTGTGTGTGTGTGTGTGTGTGTGTGTGTGTGTGTGTGTGTGTGTGTGTGCGAGAACCAGGGGAGAGAAACAGTTAGTGAAAAAGAATGCACTGAAAAAGATGACTTAAAAATAAAGAAACTGAGATTTATTCAACAAGACAAAATATATAATTAATTTTACTTATATATATATATATATATATATATATATATATATATATATATATATATATATATATATATATATATTGTTTTCTGGAACCAAGACAAAGATCATTCAAATTGATTAATTATAATAAATTAAATATTAATCAGTCAGATTAATGTAATTTTAAGTTGACTGTGCTTAAATTTAAGGCAGCACCTTTTTTTGCTGTGTTGGGCTGGTCGGGTTCCTCAAACTAAGCGATATTTTGTGTAAAAATTGTAAACACTGTGGCACTATCACAATGTTGCTTAGTTTGAGGAACCCGACCAGCCCAACACAGCAACTTTGACTCAAACAATGGCGTAATATTGGGGTGCGACCAAAAAGCTGTTTGAAAACCCTTCCCCCTTAACTCTAATGAGTGGTTTAATGATCCGTGGCTTTTAGGATCAGTAACTATATACTTCATATTAACAGATGCTTCACCAGTAAACATTGAAGGGCTCGGTTCAGCAGGCCCTTGCCTAAGCATCGTTTTTACCCTCGTGCGAAACCTGCTGACATGCTGAGAGATCAGTAAAAGCATCTCTATTTTGTCAACGGTTATTCCATTGTCCTCGACGGTGGGAAGAACTTCTGGAAGTCTCTTAAGTGAAACCGATCCTGCGTGAAATGGGGACATTTGATCTCAGACTCACAGAACTTGCAGGCTGGTGGTTCCTTTCAAATCTGGAAACTCTCGGATCTCAGTGGCCCCGTTCAAAGAGCTAAAACGAGATTAGATAACTCATTAGTGAGGATCGCTCTGCTAATGAAGATGTCGTCCAGCAAAACCACAGGGATGTCTACTGTTACCGTACACACTTAGCTCTCCATCATCCAGAGGGATATATTATTCCACTTGATTCCATCATTTTGATTACACTTGCAACGTTTCCCAAAATCAACAATGGAAGACGGTAGACTTTGTATCAAAATAATGAATGCTGAATAGACACTCACAGCATTCTTATGCATTATCTGTGCAATTGGAGAGAGGTAAATTACTTTTTTACTGGTTTTATGAAAAGCTAAATCTCATATTCTGGCATTTATGAGGTTATAATTGAAACGTGCTGTTTTTTGGAGACAAATTACTAGTTTAATGTTTACTCATGAGAGAGGTGATGGCAAGAGGTGAGCAAGATTACAGTATTCATCAAAATGAAAGCGATTATGAAATGGAAATTATACACATCTGCCAACTGGTACTTTAGAGGTGCATTATCGGAAGCCAAACGGTTCTGTTTAATCATGTGTATGTGATCATTTCACACATAGACGTGTACTTACAGTGTGTGTAGCTTTGGCAAGAACTGAAATGCTGATCTTCCAACAAACTGAATGGGATTCTCGTAGAAATGACTGAACAGAGAAGAAAAAGACATTCGTTTTTGTTAAAAATTGAATGGATCATTCTAAACGGGTGCCTTTTCCATTTTGACAAGGATATATTTAAATCATTTCAGGAAAGAATGTCTTTAAGCATTAATAAAGTACAGAGTGCCATATCCAGCTAAATTAATAAAGCTTAACATATGCTGAGATATAACATAACTATTTTTTATTGTATATTGTAACAGAGTTGACAATTAATTTAGCCATTAGCACAGTGGTTTTTTTAAGGATTAAAAAATAATTTAATGTTGACATTTTCATCAACTTTAACAATTTTTTTTATTGTTCTTGGTAACAGGGTTGAGATGTAAAAAATTGGTAACATGATTGATATGTTAAAAAAGTAGTTACAGAGTTGAGATGTAAAAGTAATTGGTAACAGGGCTGAGATGTAAAAAAAAAGTGGTAACAGAGTTAAGATGTAAAAAGAAGTAGTAACAGAGTTGATATGTAAAAAAAAAATGGTAACAGGGCTGTTGTGTGCGGGCCTCAAACCCGGTAACATGGAGGCTAAAGACCGCAGTCTCTAACGTCAGTCGCTAGAGCGCCTCTTGAGATCAGGGGAGTGAGGTTTTAACTCGCACAACTCTTACTAGCTGGCCTCCTTTACATATAGACAAAATAAAGATAATGTTGCTTTTATTTTATCTCTGTCCATTTTTATCTTTTTATGCCAACCCTGTTAACATCATAACTATTGCTTATTATAAAATAGAGTACTATTCAACAGATAAAATTACATCCTTTGACATTTTTTACAATAAGGTTTCATTTGTTAGCATTAGTTAATGTATTAACTAATATGAACTAACAATGAACAATACATTTTATACAATATTTATTCATCTTTGTTAATGTTAGTTAATAGAAATCCAGCTGTACATTGATTGTTCATGTCAGTTCACAGTGCATTAACTAATGTTAACAAATACAAAATTTGATTTTAATAATGTATTAGTAATTGTTGAAATTAACATAAACTAAGATTAATAAATGCTGCAGAAGTATTTTTAATTCTTGGTTCAAGGTCAATGTTAACTGATGAGACCTTAGTTTTTTCAATGAAAATCTATATTTGCTTATAGGAGAAAGCAATTCAATTAATTTAAAAATAAAGGTACTGAGTTATTCCCACATCGACACATATTTAAACATGTTAAAAAGGGATACAAAAGGCACCCGTTTTGTAAAACGACCCAAATATTTGTCATATATTTCCTGCTCCGTTGGCTGAGATAAACAAACTTCTATAACATGTTCTGTCTGTTACACGTGTTTAGTCAAAAGAAAAAGGCTTTACTGTCGTTTCTGAGACGAGATACTCACATGGTCTGCAGAAGTGGGTTCCCCACAAACGCTCTCTCGGGAATGGCCTTAATGTTGTTGTTGTGGAATCCCCTGCGAGACGCATGGAGAGTGAGAATATGACCATCTGCACACTTAAACACAGTCTACTATAGGATGAGGAAATCCAGCGATCAAGACCCGCTTTAGGAGTGCTTTTGCTAACTGCATCTGTTCCGTATAGGCTATAAATTGTAGCGCTGACGTGCTATTCGGAGTGGCCACACATTCAACCACTGCAACAGCTTATAATTCATCATCATCTGCCGTCACTATGAAATAACATGCTAAAGTTAATTTATGGCACACATGTTGCCAGCAAATTGTAATCCGAAAATTCTAAACAGTCTAAAATAATTACACGTGTTAAATAAACAAGGTTAAAAGGTCTTTTTTGGGTGCCGAAATTTCATTCATCACCTTGGACAATCGAGTCCAATTGCATTTTATCTTTTTATAAAGTGCAGAACTCTCCCATAAGCACATGTGTAAACCATTTGGTTGCGTCAATTCAAATCTGCCCATGTAAACATCCTTTGTATCTTACAGAAACACCTGTTGGGAGGCAGTCCCGCAGGCAAAAAACACTTTAGGATACTTGAGAAGGAAGGACTTAAGCGCTCATCTCTAAGCATCTGCTTTTTTGCAGGAAACTTGTGCTTGAGAACCACATTCTAGGGACTAACCGGGATTTACAAGGAGCACGAGGCCAGGCCAAGCGGTCCACTTTAAAGGAAGGACGCTGACACATGTATGCTGGGTAAGTTAGTCTCGGTTACTTACAGTTCCTGAAGCTTGGCCAGTGTGCGAATGGCCACGGGGAACTCTTGAAGTTCATTGAAGTTCAATTCCCTAGAGAAAGGAGAACAAACATAAGAGCAGAAGAACTCTGAGGAACACAAGTTAAGAGAAAAGAATGTATGTGTTAAAATGCAAAGCTACGTCCTTTTTATAAAGTTGTGCCTTGCATAAGACCACCTTTGGAACAACAATTAGCTAGATCGTCACATATTAGCCCAACTGTTTTGACGTTTTTATTTGATCTTTCATCCTACGTGTCTGTAGCATAAGCAAACACTTAAGAACTGTGGTTCCAATCAGTCAAAATCTTTCCCTGTGACCTTGCGGGTTTTCCGTGTTGCTCGTCCTTGGAGACCTAGACAGCTGTTCTAAGCTAATCTGACATGACGTGACCTCTCCTCTGCATACATTATTTTTGTTGTGAGCGTTTCATTAGCCTTCTAGGAAACCTGCGTCAAAAAGCGCGCTTGAACCAAAACACGGGCGGTTGCTAAGGGCGAGCGGCCTTACACGCAGGTGCAAGAACAATGTGTTTATGGCCACAGTTTGCATGTTGTTTTCCTTGGATCTCAGCGCTCCTTTTCATCTCTGATTCTTTCAGTTTTTCAGAGAATAATTATTGGGAAAATCCTATAATTGAACAGGAGCTTTTTTTCCCTCCACAAACCTTTTGCCCTGTAAAGGCGACTGGGCGGCATTAATAGGTGCCTTTTGGCCCTGTATCCCCTCGTGAAGGTCCAGGTCTTAGTCATATCGTCCGCTCCCCGCAGTTACAATACCTAATTCTGAATGTGTCTCTTCATACCCATAATTATATGTCTTATCCCTTAGTGTTAAGTGTACGCTTTCAAAACAGTCCAAATGTTTATATATTTTAGTCTTTTTTTTTTCTTTAAGGGGAAAAACGTTTCTGGCTGGTGGCCAGTGCGTTTGAAGTGAGCTTGGTGAATAGGGGTGGACCCGCGTTGGACGCCATCCAGAAAGGGCGAAACACTTGCTTAATTCCAGTGTGCGTGGGTGTACATGTGTTTGTCTATATGTGCGTGAGTGTGTCTGTGTTGCAAAACAGTCTTAAAAGCAAACTGACCTTGGCCTATTTGAGGTGAATATATATATATAAGGAAATTCTTGATACATGACAAATTATCATTAGCCATTAGCGTCACCAATGAAATTGCAAAAATAATACATTTTCAAATACGGTCTGACCCACAGTTAGTCCCGCCCCAAACTCATGGCATTGGTTGAAACAATGTTGGCGGGCTGGTCAGGATGCTGCAGAACCTGATTTCACCAAGTGCAACATGTTCCTGGATCAACATCTTTGTTGATCCTGGAACAACATTCCAATCAAGCAATCAGATTTGAGGGACAAGTTTACAGTTTATGTCAAGTTTTGGCTTACAACCAGGGTTAGGTGCTTCTACATCAATGTTATTTACCATAATTTCCCTCTAAATCTTTTGGGTAGGGGTAGGAATATGGTCAGGACTAAATTTATGAACAGGAATGTTGTTCCAGAATCAACTAAAGCCTAGTTCACACTACATGATTTTAAAACGTCGGGCTGAACTGTGCGGTTCACACTACATGACTTGCTCTCTGTGAAATCAGCAGTGTTCAAGTTGTTGAGCTAGTTCACACCACACGACACAACGTGATTGATCCGCAACAGGAGGTAACGCACTACACGAGTTGACAACAACTCTGTCACCCAACGATTCAATCTTGTCTACAAACCACGTTTTGTCACAAAAAATCACGCGATAAAACGAACCGAAAATGACGCGAAACAGCACGCGCGCCAATACCCAGCGAAGAAGACGAAGAAGAACACAACACGCGAACATGCCTTGCTCTGATTGGCTGTAGCTCATGACATCACGTGAGGTTGAGTCGTGCGATAGCTCTGGATATCTAGCATGCTAGATATTTTTCTGGGCTCGGCGAGGCGTCTGCGAGCGTCTTTGAAGCGTTGTTGGCTCTTTCATACTAACAGATTGGCGAGCGTTCATCGGCCGCGTTCATCGGCCGTTCATTTTGCACGCGATAACAACCTGACCTGTCGGCGAGCTCAACGATTTGCAAATCGGGGTTAAATCGGGCTTAAAATCATGTAGTGTGAACTAGGCTTAAATTGAACAAATTGACCCAGGAACGCATCTAACTCTGTAAAATCAGGACGTGCCAGGAAACTAAAAACAAACAGGAATGTTTTAGTAGTACCACAGTACCACTGGCTTTCAGGGGCATCGATCTATGAATGGCTTACTTGTAGATGACAAAATAACAAACTAAACAAGAGAATCAAAAGGATTGCATAACCAGTGCATGAGCAAATTAGATTTATATGAATGTGAATCTTTTGTATTCATTAGTTCTCTCACTTCTAGTGAGTCATGAAAGGGTTTAAGTAATTTTCTTCAAACTTTGCATGAAAATTCACTCGCATTTCCGGCCTATAAAATGGGCTGCATATGGAGAGACTGGGAACACAGTGCTGTGGGCGAGCCGTGCCGCGTGGCTCTGCCATGTCTACATCCTGGTTTTGTTTAGAACATCCGTCAGTCTTGTTTGGAGACATTACTTTGATATGGCAGAGAAGAGGAATGCCTTTCATTTCCTGGGAAGACCTCATTGTTTAGAACGGGAGCTGTCAGTTACCTTGATTTACAATTCGTCAAACCACGCAGAAGTCTGTTTGAAAGCTAAATCATCAGGCATCATAACAAAACAACACGGCGGTGGCCACTAAGTCTGATGATTATGAATGCATTTTCAGAGATAATTATAGTGATGGGGATTACAGCAGCATCAATAAAAAGATGCACATTATCCCACAAAAAGACGTCTGAGACCCTTTAAAGAAAGCTAATATGTTTCCTTCCATTGTTTCAGGAAGCTCAGCACTTTCCAAACACACATGTGCAACTGAACGGAGACAGCTGGCATGATTTCTTACAGTGTGTCATGTTACATATAAGAATATTTGCCTCAGGAAGATTAGTTTCTTGCTTAGCCATCATTGTAGAGATGATTACAATGTTACATATTACGGTTTCTGGGACTTTTTATTTGTTTACTACTATGCCATTTTAATTGCAGTGCATACAAGTTTTAAAACTTGTAACTTTATCCACTACAGACACATTCCAAACTGTTTATATATATATATATATATATATATATACTGTATATATATATATATATATATATATACACTGTATATGGAAATCCACTGTATCTATCCTGATTGAGAAACACTGCCCTAGTATCATAACTGATTCTCCTATCACCCTGGCCTTTAATAATAATAACATTTTTATCATTTTTGTCATTTCCAAGTGCTTAAGTCTATTGCAATAAATATTTTCTCCTTAAAATCAAATCTCCTTCCAAACGGCAAATTTGTCAAGCTGCAGAATTTTCACGGGAGAGTTTCAGCACACAGTTCCTCTGTGATTGCTCTCAAATGAAGTGTTCAGTTCAGTGTGTGCAATTCTCAAGGCTGAAATCTTCTTGTAAAGAGGAAAACGTCATCTTTAGCACTTCAGCAGGCTGTTAAAAAGCAGGTGTGAACCTCTCGGTATCCTGGAGACCACCATGACTTTAGCATATGTGTAATCCTTTAAAGCCAAACTTTCATAGCATGGTCTATGTAATGTCTTTCATACATTACATTACAAATATGTGTTGGCTTTGGTTCATAGGCCCCTTTCAACATTTCTCATGAATTTTAAAAGCATTTCTCATGTATTTATTGGGCCTATTTAACATGTGATTTCAATCTATCATGTTTGGTAATGTATAATAAGTTATATAGCATGATGAATCTGGCAGAGAATGTGTGCTATTGTCCAGGTGTGTTTATGAAAATTGTAGCCAGTAGCCTTAAAATGAATGTTTATTAATTTATTCATTCTTATATATTTGTATGAATTTTATTATGACTGTCAATTAAAACTTGATCCAGTGTAACATAATTGCAACCACCTCAAACATGGGTCATGCTGTTGACATTGCCTGAATAGTCCAATATAACTGCACGGGTGTAGTGATAGAACACATAAAAATCCACATTATGAAAGAAATTATTTCCCATGACATTTCCCACTCAATTCAATTACCTTATTTACTGTATTGCTGAATATATGAAGATAAAAGGAAAAGGGAAGCACACAATAAAGCATAAAAAAAAAATGTCGCCTGTAATACCAGCATAGGCCACTAGCCACATTAGCCTTGTAACCACAAAGGGCCCCCTAAAAATCATTGTATAGTTTGCTCACTGCTTAAACGTGTGAGTACTTTCGTATGGAGCAGTAAAGACATCATCCAACACTGAAGTCATTGTCAGGGAATCATTGCTGCTAAATTGAAAGTCTGCCATAAATTCTTAGATTTTAATAAGAGGTACGAGTGTTTCTTAAAAACAAGGTACTGCAATTAACATGTTCATATCTCAACAGCACAAGTATTGTGTAAAGAATGGTGTGTTTATAGTTCATACAAAGCTGAACCACTGAACATTCAGTAAGTAGAGTCAGGTTAGTTTGCTAGTAATTTTGATTTATATTTATAGCCACATAATAATAACACGAAGATGCCAAAATCAAATAACAGATCAGGGTCTGTTTGCATTAAAAACAGGAAATTCTTTCATGTTTTTAATCTTTCCTGAAGGGACAATCTTACTTACAGAGTCTCGAGGCTGTGCAGTCCCTCAAAGCAGTTCTGTCCGAGCGTCCGGATCATGTTGTTATGAAGATGCCTAAACATGAAAACATTCATTAGCGTTATGGTAAACATCAAAACAAACCTCAGGAATGACACCTGTTAGGCTGTGCACATTGCTTCAAATAAATGTGAACGTGGCGGATGATATATAAACTTAAACCACACTATCATTTCACTGCTTTGCAATTGAAAGAGTTTAGGATTATTGCGGTGTCCTATCAAACCAAGGCATGTGTTCAAACTTCCTCTGATTTCCTGGTTTCCATCCCTCACACCGATACATGCACAATGGTTAGTGTAATTTACTCAGAATCAAGGGCATTTCTAAGCCATGTTAACATTTAACAATTTTCTCTGATTGTACAGATTGGATATGTTGGGGTAAGATACTAAGCATGCTGATCCAGGAATACATCAAACTAGTTATTTTTTCTAACTAATATTTTGTGTGGAAGTAGATACGTACAGGACAACCAGGTTGGAGAGGTTCCTGAAGGCATAGTCAGGGATGTGGGTGATGCGGTTTAGGGCAAGGGTCATAGCCTGGAGTGAAGAGAGGTCATTGAGGGCGCTTATTGGGATCTCTGTCAGGGCATTGTCATCAAGCCACAAGTGCCTCAGTGACCGCATACCCAAGAGGGTCCTTGCTGGCACCTCCATAATCAGGTTGGCATCCAGACGCCTGTTTTTATTTGAATGAACACAAGCAGATGTTTATTCCTGTACAGAGGTTATGGAGGGTGCAGAAATGATAATGCAGTCAGTCATTTTTAACAGTCACTAATTGGTTAAACTTTCACCTAAAAAATAGGCATTTATTTCATGACAAATCAACAGCAGACATTAGTTAATATGAGCAATTACTATTGGCAAGAATTAAGAGATGAAAGCCATTAGGCTTTACGGGACTGGTGTTAAATGCCTTTCCCTCCAGATGAATCACTGAAGGAAGTTTCTGAACCTGTGTAAGCAAGACACTATACGCAACCCACCTTCCATTAAAATATACTTAGGGCCAGATTTACTAAACATGGCAAATTAGCACTGGAGCGCAATTCCAAAAAAGCGCGATGGGAGTGGAAAGTTCTGCGCGTGATCTACTGACGACACACAAATGAAAGAACATAGACGCAGTCAGATCATTTCCATAATGACCAACGCAATCTACCAAGAGCAGCGCAAATTAGCATCTGGTTTAAGACATGCTTTTTTTTGGTGGTAAATAATGGCGCAAATACCAGTAAATTGACAAGTGAAAACCTTTTAAATCACCGTGATTCTTCTAAATACTCTCCTCCCATAAATTTTGTGTCCGAAAGGGTAACTCCAGCAAAATCTTATGCAATAAGGTCAGCTGCAATGTAACACTGGCCACGCCTTTTCAGCGCTAAATTTTCACTGCGTGCCTTTAGTAAATCCTGAGAGTAAATTTTTAACGCCAAAAAGAGGGTTTGCGCTGGTGCAAGCTGCTAGTAAATCTGGCCCATAGTAGGGTAATTCACTAACTGTAGACTTTTTTGATAATGAGGCCTGACCTGGCCTGACCTCAGCGGTAACACTCCTTGTCCGTGCAGTGTCCTGTCATGGAATCTACCTCTTTCATTTCATTCATTAAACTGCCAAGCCTTGCAGAGGTATATCAAAACAGATGAACAAAGGAGCCATAATTGTGGCTAAATATAAAGAGATACCATGCTGTGGTCTGCGGTCACAACATTTCTGCTTTGACAATATCATTATTAAAGGATAATTTTGTTGCCTTTTTGTTTCGATCTTTTGTTATTCTGGTGTAAGAATTGGCACCACTACCTAAGCACTTTAGTCTCCCCCCCTTCCCCCCTTTAGTAACTCCAGCATGGACTTGTTTAATGAGAGTTTTGGCACGATTGCTGCTCTAAACGTTTGATAAAGAAGCATCGGGAGCCCACAGGTGGAGTGCTTTGCTTTGTGGATTGTCACATTTTTTTAATTGAAAGCTTTTGAAGAAATGAAGGGTGCTAAATCACAGCAAGTGTGTTTCAGAGGATACAAAGAAAAGTTGTGCAATCACAAACCAGGCGTACAAGGGCTGCCGAGGCAACGATTCCACTCTCGATCCAACCACATGAAGGCATTTTGTAAATTGGCCATTCCTCTTTCATTTCACTTGCGCTCATATGGTGTAATAAAGCACCGCTTGGTAATTTGATGGCTTTGTGGCATGGTGAGCTGATTTGGTTAAAGCCACCAAGCAATTGTTCCTCCATACTGACTGGAAGGCTTTAAGTCACTATTGAATTAACAGTTTTTCTCTCTGATTTTTGGAAATAAAACAAAGAAACTGCGCTAAAGACAAAAGCTGTGAAAAAAAATCAGAGGTTGCTGGAGATAATTGAAAGTGCAGACGTTTGGATTCTTTCACAATTTGAAGAACCCCCCATTTCTTTGCAAGGCTGTTGTTCACAAACCTTGACATCTCCACAACCAAGATGAATGTCCTCCCTGTGTCTACAACTTAAGTCTTTGATCTAATAAATGTTGCCCCCTGGATTCATTGGATGGGGTTGGTGGAGGGGTGGCGGGGGGAGGGGGGTGTTGAACCTCAGCGATCAGCGAATCGTGATGTATGATAGCAGCAGAGCACGTGGAGTTAGCCGCAAGCACTTCCTCTGCATTTTTTCCCCATGACCTTTCACACACATTCATTTGCACTGGCCTCTCCTCACCTCCCCTCTGGCCTCTTCAACCCTCGAGTCCTTCACCTCAAGGTAATGCACGATGAGCATCAATAGTAGAGGAACTTGATCTCAAAGTACAATGCTATTTGGCTTGAAGAACTCCCCATATTCTCAGACTACGTTCTCCAAGCTGTGCAAACCTGCTAGGTAGCAGTGATTCAAACTAAACACCAATATCTTGCTGATGACATCTCAATCATCTGGCTTGATAGGTTTAAGACTTGAAATAATAAATGTAAACATTGCTTTAGTCATCTATTGTGTGTGGAATCTCATTGGTAACCAACGTGTGATCAAGAGGTGTTGTATTGCCTCTGATTTAAGAAAGGTAAGTTTTATTGTTGCTCAGCTTTGACTGCACCTTTATCAGATCTTTCTTTCATAGACTAAATCCTGGAAGGATGGTCTTGACAGAGCATCAAAGGATGCTCTGTGCTGAGTGTAGCAAGCATAGACTCTAGTAAAGAAACAAAGATGAGTTTCATCACCAATCCTCTCTCCTGCCCCAACTCATCTTCCCTCTGTCTACATCGGGCGCCAGTGGACTTCAAACCTTATAGCCCCCCCAGTGGTTAACCGATCCCCATCTTATCATTACCCTAAATTACATGTTTGTTGAGAACTAAATGCCTTTCTACTCTTGTGGGAACTCAGGATAGAGCACCTAGCTGAATCACTGCATATTCTTTGTTATGGGGGATTGAAAGTGAGCGTAAGTTGGCTGGACGAATGCCAGAGCTCTGTCTCACTACAGGGAGGGCCTGGACACAGTCTATGCACGTCTGGAGCCTCTTCTGGAACCAGGCACGTCTTCCATGCGGAAAAAAAACTCTGTTGGTGGCAAAGGAATTAAATTTGTACGCCATGACTCTAATGAAAACATCCTTGCAAAGGTAGAAGGAAATGAGCGCATGGATATTTACATGGAATTATTCATTTGGAAAAAGTGGGTGTGCGGCTCTGCACCGGGATGCTGACTGGCATCGGGAAACTGGAATAATTGAAAGGAGTCGTGAGGTGGATGTGAGTCGAGCAGATGGACAAGGCCAGACAAAATCCCAGACAATATTTAGATTCTGACCTTTTCATGGGGAACCAGTTAGGAATAGGGGGCGTGATTCCGATTAGGAGGAAAACTTAAGGGAAGAGGAGCTGATGGAAAATTGGGCTCTTCACAGCTCATTGAATCTCCCAGCGCTCGCTCAGGAGCCAGTGTGCAGTGTCTGGCGGTTTCCTCATGGGTTCCAGATGCGCCAACAGGCCCTGTAAAGGTCCCTCTTTTTCACCGTTCTGATATTAAATGTGACATAGTCACGTTTCTTCTTCCTCAAAAACACTGAACTCTGGAATATCATATTTGTCTCTGTTGCGAATTAGCATTAAGGTAATAGCTCTTATAGAGAAAGTATAAACCAGATACACTAAATTCATTTTTAAATTGTATTAATTTAAAATCCAGAAATATACAGACCACACAATAACTACTATGACTTTTGTTACTCTTTCTCTGTTCATTATTTGTTCTTCCTTTGCGAACAACTGCATGGCATTGTCTGCAAATGAAAATCCAAAATAGAAGGATTTCTATTACCAAAAATCGATGCGTCTCACTATTACACAGCCAAAGAACACCTGTTTTACCACTTCCATGTGTGTCCTAAATTGCAAACTTGATCCTCCCTGGTGGGGAGTTCTTTAATGAAGGGCCTAATGGTCCTAATAGGCATATAAATAACTGGGCTTTCCTGCATCAACTCTATTATTAGAGATAAATGCCAAGAGTTACCTCATGGCTAGATTGCAGTGTAGACTAAATAACCTTACTGCTAGAGACTTTATCTGATAGAGGGGTGCTAAATGATTCATTTTGTTACTCGTGCTGTGCTTATGATGTAATATTTGATACATAATTATTCATCATGTTTTCTGGACGAACAACTCCACTTCCACTTAGACTTCTTTTGTTCTATGACGGGGAGCATCTTCTAAGCAGAATAACATTTCACATGAGACCAATCTTTGAATCAACTGAATCTGTTTTATTACAGCTGTTAAGCATGTAGCTGTGGTCACAACCAGGAGGTCTACACTTGGCATGTGGACCTATCCAATGTTGCTTTAATATACAACATTGTTCCATGTAAATCTCTTACAGCCCAAGTTTGCTTTTGATCACTTGAAGTATGTGGTACTTACAGAGACAGCAAATTGGGTAATTCCCATGGGTCTTCACTGGGCAATCTCTCTAACTGGTTATTCTGCAACATCCTGCAAAGATACCATAAAAGAAAATTAGACAGGTAATTCCATCTGCTATATATTAAATCATATTTTAAAACACTAAATGTGATATTAATACATTCAAGAATGAAATCTAGTATTATCTAAGTGGCCTTCTATTTGTATTAAGGAAATATATATATTAAAAAAAGTCACCACTAGTTCCAAATATGTAATTTGCTGCGTGGCGTATTTTAAATGTTAACGCTTGTCAAAAAACAGACTCTAGAGACATTTTGGAATTGAGAATGACAGTGTGGCTCCTGGGCACAAGAGTTTTCCAGCTTACTGCTGATGAGGTTACCTGTCACTCACATCAATCAGTCAAGAGATATGATTTCAGGTACTGTGTGGTGCACTTTTCAGTGGACAAAACCAGAACATGGGAGGGGCAGAGAGACTGAACAAGACGAAACAGAACGAGGGGGAGAAACTGCTTGGGTGGGCCACTGAGGTCATGCTCACAGGACTCGAATCGAATAAAAGAACGAAAGAAACAGGAAGTGGTAGAACAATGACACCAAGCTCTTTGAACAAAGCAAATTATTCCATAGTGAGAGCATGAGGCCACAGACGTTGAGCTTTAATTACAAGGCAGACAGTTTTATCATGTCCAATCAAATGAAACTCCTGACATTTGACCACACAGCCAGTGTTTGGAGGAATAAATACTCCTTTGTGGGCAGGATGTCCTTATCAAGGAAATCATGGTGCCACCATAGCCATTGTGAATCTAGACTTAAAATGTCCAGCAGTCTTGATATGACATTGTGAACAAGCCTCTATTATTTAGTCATTCAAATGCCACAAAGTGTATATTCATCCCCCCTGCACTTTCAGTTTTGTGTGGCATTGTCATATTTTCACCAATTGTTCGTGATGTGACATTCTTGCCATGTTTTTCTTGAAGTTTTGGTTAAAATGTTTTTAAATTTACATGTGATTCTGACTAGTTTATTGAAAGCTGAACATTAGTTCAAAAACATCCGGTCAGGTACTCGTGCCTCAGACAAGTTTGGTTGTTGAATAGGATAGTACGAAGCACAATAGAGCACAGAAAGCAAACAGAGAAAAATTTGTAACTATTGTAATACCCAACCCAATCCCTTTTTGTCTACACTGACCACAGAAATAAGATACCTGACAATGACAGACATTACCTTGTTGTTTTCTTCGAAAATGGGGGAAAGGGCATTAAAATATAAAACTTAAGTAATGTTCTCATACTAAATGGACTAAAATGTAACTCTAGTAATGGTTAAAGAAAACATTTTTTAATAAGGTACAATTACTGAAAAGGTATTGGCACACAAAGTTTTCATTCCACTTTATGGGGTAATGAAAGAATTTGATGTGGCAGGGCAATTTTCTTGAGATATGCAATCTATAAAGTAGAAAAATGTGTTGAATTGTTGAATGACAATACAGGGCAAATTTACTAAAGCTTCCAGGACAGCACGGAAAGGTGCATGGAATCCTGTGTGGAAATTTTGAGATGTATGTTGGCGTGAATGTGTTTCATGCCTGGCCTTTGTCTGTCCTTTTCTATTCCATCAACTGGTTTTAATTCAGTCAATAAAATTACAATCTGTCAATAGAACATCAACAAACACCCAGGCATGAGGAACAGCTAACTGACCATTCACCACAGAGCAAAACCTGAATCATCACCTGTCAGCGGTTCTGTTTCTAATTTTGCAGTGAATGACACTGCTGCAAGTCCTTTTCAGAATGAATCACCCTGAATGTTATTTTCCATAGAAGCATTAACTGAAACAAAAACGCTCTCACTCTTTCTGTCTTTCGTTACTCACAGGACTTTGAGGTTGTAGAGTCCTTGGAGCACGGGGCCAGGGATGTGTCTCAGGTGGTTGCCCGAGAGTCTCCTGTGGAAGGACAAAAGAAGTGCTTTGGTTCATTTGCAGTCCAACACATTGATGACTTTAACAGAGAGATGAGAATCTGGTGAATTCATAAAGGCGAGGGTGCATGTGTGTGCGTTCAGGAGCACACGGTGAAAACAAAAGTGAGAGATCTCCTTGGACACACGAACCACAGCAGCTGTGGTTCAGATCTCTCTGGCCGCTGGTCTTTACCGGTCACGTACTGAAATCTCTCTTTTGTATGGTCTCTAAAATACGTCAACGACTTTTGAAAGGAGCCAAGATATGAATGCGCTCTGAGCTCCTTTTGCCTCTTGTGGCAACAAACACATCATAGTACGGCTGAATTTATATACAATGGCCAAAGACAAAATGGATAGAATTGCTATTGAGGTGGAAAATCCACTCTACGGTACGTTGTTAGACCTTGTTATTGTTTGAGGGTCTCACACTACAGTCAGGGTACAAATTATGGAAGTTTGGTGTAAACCAAAACACACAAAACAGTGTTTTTTCAAACAAGAATATAATGTAAACAGAGCTCATAAGGTCACATGATGCCAAACAGACAATCTTAACCCTTTTATGCATGAAAGGTGACAACCTTAGTCAGGATTTGTATTTAATGCTCTTAGGGCAAGAAAAACAAGATTTGAACTATTGTTTTTTACACATTTTTCAAAGAGATTTTCAGATGGCCACTTGAGTTTTTGTTGTTAACTGAAGAGATACAGTATTAAACATAATACAGTGTGTGTATTTAACAAACCAATGAATATAATGATTTAAAACTATAAAATATATACAAAAAAATATTACTCCTTCAATTATTGCAAATGCAATTGAGTTTTATCCCGGTCATAACTTCATACAAGCTGGATGTCACTTGTCTTTGATATCAGAACATAACGAACAGAAAAGGACGTGATTCCATAAAAGATCTGGTGAAGGTACAACTCTGTGGAAACCCAAATAAAAAAATGCTCATGTTCCCTCCAGTCTAGATTATGTTGATTTACCCTTAATAGCAGATAATTCTAATTATGTTCAAAAATGGACACATTTGTAGCTCTCGTCTCTGAGAAAACCTCAGACTCTATTGATGTTTTCAGACTGTGGAAAAACTAATGATCAGGTGTCTTCAATCTCATCTGAAATGAGCAGTGTTGGGGGTAACGGATTGCAAGTAACATGCTTGATGTAATCAGATTACTTTTTGATGCAATGAGTAAAGTAACACATTACAAGTAACATGTAACCTAATCAGATTACTTTTTGATGTAACTGAAAATTACATTCTAATAACATAAATACATTAATTTACAGCCAAAAAAGTCATTGCAGATGAAGTATTTTCAAGAACAACAGTCACGGTAATAGTATGAATTGTTGCTGAAATATAGTTAGAGATGCATGATGTCCAATTTAGTGGACAGATGATTAATCAGAATTTCCTCCCAATCTAAAATCAATACTTGGAAAATGTAACAAGGATATGAATTCTTAGATGTTACACAATTTTTACCTACAAGAGTCTCCTAGAATAGAAGGAATGGATGGATATTCCGGAGCAACTTGGCAATTCTGACTGGCCATCAACTATCTTTGTTTGAAGAAATAAATCCACATACAATGGCTTGCCACTTGGTGGCAGTGTATAGGATGATGCACTAGTGTCAACTGTAGAGGTTGATGTGCAACTATGCCATCAAAACTCGTCCATTTGCAAAAAAATGCTTTTTGAATAGCTGTCTACTAGTGACCTCTATGTGTAAAAGTGTTAAATAGTCAAGTCAAGTCAAGTCATCTTCATTTATATAGCGCTTTTAACAATGGAGATTGTTTCAAAGCAGCTTTACAGAGATAAACATACAATTTACGGTAACAGAGATTGTTTTGGCTTTATAGCGATTTTGAATAATGTTATTTCCAGCTAAAGTTGGTTTTGATTGATTCACTTCCAGCAAAATTATCATTTGTTAGATTTGAAACACCTTAAAGGTGCAGCTTGGACACATCTTCAGTGAAGGACCCAGGGTCACAGGGTGTTTCGGGTCTTTGATCTTCAGACACCCTCACCTGGGCGACCCAACCGGGGTTGATCAGTCCCCGGTTTGTGTCCAAGCAGCGCGCTACTCCATACTTCTCCCCTTTGGATCCATAACCACCTTGAGTTATCACATTAGGGGCCACTAAGACGACGGCGTTCTCTCTAAACAGACTTTAAACGCGAACCTGTGACCTGATGGCGTTCACATGCGCATTAAAAATTGATTCTATAGTTAAATTAGTTTGAATATGTGTGCGCAGGTTTGTAATTTCCCAACAAACCATGCCTAAACAAACTACTTGTCTTGCCTATAAATTTGATACAGAATTTTATTTTATCACTTCGAGGTACGCGAACCGGATTTTCAACAACGCTTTATCTGTAGAGTGGGAAAGGGATCCTCCATAGGGAGAGGATAGTTGACACTTCAGCACTGCATTGTCATCGGGTCCAGGCGAATCTCCTTCGTCAGATCTGGATACGGCCTGGATCCAGATCTGTTTTTTAGTTTTAGTTTGAAGTCCTGCCAATTTTAGTTGTGCAGGACCTTCAAAATATAACATGTTCGTTCAGTTGGCTGAACGTCTGATGCATATGGCACACTTAACTGGAAACATTGTATCTGGATCATTATCTGATGGGCTGAATTCTACAGGATGTCCGGGAGACGTGTGTCGCGTTCTTTAACAGTCCGCCTGGAAACAAAGCCGTTGTGATGCCAAACCCCCTCATGGAAAAAGAAAGCTGTCATGTTTACAACTGTGACAATGTGCGCTTATCAGGATCAACTAAACGCTGGATTTTCAAAAGTATGTGAAGTTTGTGGCTCCATTGTTTGGGTAACCTTGCACAACATTCTTGAAAGAATAATTTATTAGATGCACGCCGGCCTGTTATCGTAGGGACGTCGACTTTTCACGCCCCTAAACATGACGCGGAACCAAACGAACTGTGATTGGTTGCTTCACATGTCGGACAGACGCCCTTTTGGGCGGTCCTTGGCCAATGAAAGCTGCGATAGAGTCCAGAACTTCTGCCGTCAGTCTGAAGGTCTGGCTACGCGAGATTATAATCATAGCAACATTACGTGTTCAGTGCCATAGGTGGGCTATTGTTGCCAAAATTCAATTTTAGTTGTGCAGGACAAATTTCAACACATCTTCCCTTAAATTATCGATTAAAATTACAAAAGATGACCCGTCAAAAAATCAGCATTTAAATCGCATGCAGCCACAGCCACAGCCAAGTAGAACATCGTGGCTGATACCTCTGAAATTACTAGAGACATGGGAAAGACATTCCCAGAGACAGTCAGAGCAAATATCAACCAGCTGTAGGCTCACCCATTCGGATTAATCAATTTGTTTATCAAACAAATCACTTAATAAGCGTTCGTGCCTGTTTTTTCCTGGGTGGCAGAGTTTGAGGAAAGTCTGTCGAAGCCTCACAAGGAGTCATGACAGCCTAAACAGGACCACCCATACCTCCAAACAGCTTTGCCTCAAAATCGCTCCATCCTGCCAGAGTAGCCTCAGTCTCCTCTTGTACGCCAAATGGTTCTTTTTGTATGACAAGATGAAATTTTTGAAAATTGCAGCCAATGTTTAGCATGTCAGCTTAGCTAATGTGATGGGTGCGACAGCTCTGGCAAAGCAACAACCGTGTTGTATACAGGCACATCAAGAGCGACACAAGCCCAGAAAACAGAACGGCAAAACCCAGAACTGGGTCCATGACAAGGTCTGATAGATCTTCACACACTCCCTTATGTGCTCACACACACACACACTGCCGTCTTCCACCATTGGGCCATGCAGTCTATGAGGTTTTTAATGGCTATCACTTCATGTTGTGCCAGACCACACTCCCATCCGTAGACTCTATTTCTGGTAAGACCATGTGCCGCCACTCTTTAACAAACATTTGTTTTGCGTAGGGCGAAAGACAGAGGGAAATGAAGGAGATGGAGGGGCTGGGGAAGGCAAAAATAAAAGTGTCAGATTTGGAGGCTGCGAAGCTTAGTGGTTCACCCCATGCAAATAGGCCAGTGATGGTTTCACATGCGTGTCGGATGAGGTTTCAGCCACGTACCACAGCAAGCTGTTCTGCTGAAAGCTTGTGCCAGCTCTGCGGTCAACTTTTATCCCTCGTTATAATTCAGTCATGTATCTAAACACTGTAGCTCTCGGCTTTATGTATTCTCTCACATTACAGACAAACATGGCTCTAATGCTAATTTTCCTAAGTCACTTGTGTCAACATGTTGTATATTCTTCTGAGAAATCTCTGGAATGATGAGTGTATCATTATGAATATCAAGATGTTTGTAAAATCAGTCATTATTTAGATTACGGTCCAATTCTCATCATTAGCTAACTATTACCTATGGCTTTTGCCTCAATAAAGTCCTAATTACTGCTTATTCATAGTTAGTAAGGTAGTTGTTAAGTTTAGGTATTGGGTGGATTAAGGGAAGTAGAATATGGTCATGCTGAATAAGGCATTAATATGTGCTTTATAAGTAGCTAATAAACAGATAATGTCCAGGATGCTAATAAGCAACTTGTTAATAGTGAGAACGGGACCCTACACTAAAGTGATAAATAATGGACCCTAAACCGTAAAATGTTGTTCAAAATTGAATCTGGCCATAGAAACGGATATTACAAATCAGATTTCTTTAATATCAAAACTCAACAACAGAAAGATACTCTCATTGCCACATTAGACGCCGAAAAAGCTTTTGATAGGGTCAACTGGAAATTTTTATTCACCACATTACACAAATTCGGCTTTGGAGAGTCATTTATTAACTGGATCAAGATTTTATACACATCACCATTGGCCACAGTCACAACCAATGGACTAACATCACAAAGCTTCACACTGCACAGGGGGACGAGGCAGGGATGTCCACTCTCTCCATCCCTATTCACGATTTTTATTGAACCCT